AGGAACTCTTAGGAGTTATATACCATATTTTTTGCTGGAAGCACTCCTAGACAAGTATTTGGGAGTTTTAGTTGAAATTTGCCTTTCTTACAACTCTTTTATTTCACAGTGCTGATATCTTCCGTAAGATCTGGTTTGCGATCTCCCAGCACCGAAGACAGGCTGAGGCGTCCACAGAGGCTGCAGCTACACCAGAGGACAGAGCGAGCAAATAGCTGACGTGTGTGGTTACAGCTCCAATTTCCACACAACAAATACTTACACAAGAAAGACTCATTCAATTAATTTAGGAATTTAAAGTTTTAAAGACAGTTCTTACTGAAATTTTTTAGTTTGTTATTTAGAGGCATGTTTTAAAGATTTGTATAAGGATCTGTAATAGGAATAGTCAATCTTAGTCACCACACCCTATAGTAGTTGATGGAAAGAAACTCTAAAATGAGGCCGAGTGCCTCTGTTTTATGATGTGCCTTATTTACTAGTGTAGCACTTCAATAAGAGATAAAATAGATACAAATGTGCCTTAAATTTATTATCTAATAGGAATGTAGCTAAGGATAACTTCATGTTTACTTTGAATGCATAAATGAAAAAAATAATTTGGCTTTTGAAATCTTATTTATAATCATAAATGTTGGAGAAGCAAGCAGTGCAGTCTTCTGCACCTATACTACCTGTGAGGTCAAGGGGTCCTATGAGAATACAGCAATGATTCCTCAAGACCAGGGATCGTCACCCAAAGAAATGACAGGTTTGGAACAGGCATACAAAGAATTGTTCTTCTGTTTAGACAAATTAAATGATCTTAGGAAATAATTTTGGGGGAAGATTATACTTTTGTTTTTATATAGTCACACGAAGCACTTAAGCACTAAGGTACAACCTGCATGCGTGCAGTTACTCCTTAGTATAACTTACATGCTATTTAAAAAGTTTCAAAGACTTATACCATATTTTTTGGATATTATTTCTCAAAGTTGAAAACTGAGTTCCTTACAATTGCTAATGAACAGGCCATCCATTACATGTGATCGCCTGTTAACTGACTGACTTGAATTTGATCCACTGGTTAGCACCACGCACTTCAAAGGGTGGGTCGCTACTGTAGATGTGATGGCCTAGTTCTTCCAGAGGTGGCTCAGGATCAGCTGTGGCAAACTGGGCAGCATCCTCAATTTCTTTCCTCACTTCCACATCAATTTCCTAAACATGAGATGACAGCACAAGAGATTTCTGAATAAATAGCAATTTAAGTGCCAACTAGAGTTCTACTCAGAACCTGTTGCTATAAATGTAACTCTTCTAGTACTAAAAGTGCGAACAGTTAGTAATATAGAAGAGTTTAAATGACAAAATTACACATGTAGTTAACCTAAGGACTGGCTAGGAATTAAAAATCCAAAGTGTATTTTTAAGAAAGAACTCTGCAATTAGGGGGCAGTTTAAAGACTTTTTGCCGGTATAATTAATGTACTGTGATAACATGTACAAACTTTCCTATTAGGCAGGTCAGTGTCTATCAAATCTTAAGAACCCCATCACTTATTTGGCTTTGACAAACTTAGCCATCACTGTGAGAACTTTTTTGGGAGAGAGATTACCAAGAAAGGAAAGTCAACCCTTACCCAACCTTTAAAGCTAGACTTAACCCAAGTGTGACTGTACCTTTAATTCTTCCACACTGGCAAGATTGCTGTTCACCATCCTATCCTTGAGAAGCATAATAGGGTCACTCTTACTTCTTACTTCCTGAATTTCTTCTCGTGTACGATAACTATGGGGAGGGAAACAGTGATAGATAAGAACTGCCTGGTGAAGCAACAGCTTAGTAAAACATAGTAGTGTGTTTTGGAAAGGAAGGGACATGTCAGTACCATTGTTGCTGTGGGAAGAGGACAGACAAACTTAGAAGACACAAGAAGGCACCTAATAGCTTTTTGAAAAAAATGTATTTAGTACAGGGTCTCACTATACAGATTGGACTCAAGAGTGATCCTCTAGTTTTCAGCCTCCCAAGGGCTGGGATTATAGGCATGCGCCACCACGCCCAGTCTCAGTCCCTGCCTCAGGATGCCCCAGGGGCAGGGCCAGCACAGCACACCTGGGATTGAACCCTGGTCCCTGTGTCTGCCTAAGCAGGTGCTTTAATCTGGCAGCTAATAATTTGTAAAGGTTGATTGTATCTTTTATAGGAAATTGTACGCTCTAACTCAGCGCTTCTCTTGCACTCTGAAAACAGAAGCTAAATGTTGGTTTGCTTCCTTCATCTGGAAGTAGTATATGAAGAAGTATCTCATGTTCCATCTCTTTGGGCTCCTATATTTTACATAGACAAGGCAACAGTGATAATCACAGATTTTGAGGCATCAGAATGCCAAGCAAGCAAGCAAGCAAGCAAGCAAGCAAGCAAGCAGAAAGTATATTTGCTTTGCCTTTTTTCCTAAAGACCCCAAAGCATGGCTGGCAAAAAGTTGGCTATCTGGATTTTCAATTTTTTTTTTAGTACAGGGTCTACAGAGTCTCACTACACAGATCAGACTCATAGTGACCCTCCTGTTTTCAGCCTCTCACACACTGGGATTACAGGCATGCACCACAACATCCAGTCTCAGTCCCTGCCCCCTGGGGGTGGGGCCAGCACGACATGCTGGGGATTGAACCTGGGTTGCTGCAACTGCCTAAGCAGGCACTTTACTCCACTGAGCTATCTGGCTGGCCCTCTGAGCTATGTGGCCGGCCTTTCTAATTTTAGATTATATAATACTGTATATCTTTTTCCTACATCATATTTGAAATAACAGTGACTAAAGGCAAGGGTTCTATTTTTAGAAACTACATTTTCCCATAGAAATCCATTTTAAAAAGGCTTGTTTATTAACTAAATTGACTTTCCAATTACAGAATTACATACTAGAGCTATTAAGTGAAAAAGGAAAACACACTTTCTCATGTAACCCACTTTTTTGATTAACATGTACCTACCTACTGAATACTCCCATGAGCCTGTGGGCTTTGCTTGTCACTAGTCACATTTCCAAATCCTAATCCTCTTTGGGCAGAGTCTGCCATGTGTAAACTTCAGGTAATGCCTACATAAACCACATACCCTCAAAATGCTACTTTCCAGTAAGACCTGTTTTATGTAACACTTTCCCTCTGCAATTTAGTTATATAGTCCTTTTCAAAAATTACTTCTTGGTTGGGGATATAGCTCAGTGGCACAGCACCTGCCTGGCAAGCACAAGGTCTTGAGTTTGATTTCTAGTACCAAAAAATAAAAAAAAAATAAGACATTACTTTTCAGCTAAGACATACAGTGCATATCTTTAGAATGCTTTCTACATTGGAACCAATTTATTGGGAGCACTGCTTTCAGACTACCTCTAATTGGTGCCAGTGAAACTTGATGAATGAAATGAGCAGATTTCAAAATCAAACGCTGCAATGTTTTGCCTTTTCATGCCATAAATAGCATTCAAAACTGACCCATTGGGGCTGGTGAGATGGCTCAGTGGTCTAAAGCACCTACTTAGAACAAGCTTAGCAAAGCACAGGGACCACGGTTCGATCCCCCAGCACCACATGCCAGCCAGCCCGCCCCCTGGTAGGCTGAGCTGGCCACACACACACACACAAAAAAAAAAAAAAAACAACAAAAAACTGACCCACTTTGTGATACACACACAAATACCCCATGACTGTACCTGACTCCAGGATCACTCATACTATGTCCATGGTAACGGTAAGTCTGCAGCTCCATCAGGATGGGCCCCTAAAACGGGACCCGTAAGTGGATAGTAAGTGATAGCACAGCATGCCAACAGTCCCCGCCTCAAAGGGAAGACCGTTGCAGCATCCAGTATATTTTTATCAGGTCATCTATAAATCGGCTGAGTTGTCAGGAATTTTTTGACACCTATTTTATTGCCCGTTTCAGCCTTTGTGTGTGTGTGTGTGTGTGTGTGTGTGTGTGTGTGTGTAATGAGGATGGAATACAGGGCATCACATTTCTTTAAAAGTACTCTACCACTGAGTACACCTTCAGCCCTTTCTATTGCTTTAAGGCATGATCTCACCAAGTACACCATGTTGGCCTTGAACTTTAAATGGTCCATCCTCAGTCTCCTGAATAGCTAGGATTATGGCTCACCCACCTCATTTTTCATAAGTTAGTAAAGCAATCTTTCAATAGTTTGCATCAAGCACATTACAGAGCCCACTGATACTGGTTAGGTAGATTTCCATTTATCTGAGTAATCCGGCTCTTTTCATGCAGTGTTTCATAGGGGCTGAGAGCCAATCCCACTTCACTTGGACCTTTCTGGTGCATAAAACCAGCAGACACCAATCTCTCATATCTCAAACGTACTGCTGTGAGTCTGGCCACCTTAGCTGTGCGGCACCAAGTGGCTTGTTTATGCCACAATAGCCTACTAGCACAGGGTACTGTTTTCTGAAGGAAGAGGATGGATGAAGGAATACCGCACAGTTTGGTTAGAAACTGGGAGGGGGCTCAGTCTAAGTGCTTTGGGTCTGTAATCCTGGCTTTAAGATAGGGTAGCCATATATTTGAACTGCTGTGCCTAGTTTCCTCATCAGAAAAATGGGCAAAACAGACCTAATTCAGAATTATAAACATGAAAAAAAATCTAAAAAGTACACTGCCCAACATGTATCCTTCAACTGTCACCATCTTGGTGCAGCCATCTGGAATAGTGGTTTGGGCTGGGACCTCAAGAATTCCAAACCCTCCCACCAGTTCCCAGATCAGGATTAACTATCACATCCTATGAACCATGTTCCTGTCCAAGGTTAAGTCCTACATGTCCTTTTCAAAAACAAATGAGAACTATACCCATCCCCCCAGAGTCTGGCTCCTTTAGTCTATTTTTTTTTTGGTCCTACATGCGTTTTACAATCATCCTGGGGAGTTAGTACATACATAAAATACACCTTTTTAAAATCCTCTTCCCTTCTAGACATCCCCCTTTCCTCTAGTTCCCTTCTGCTCCTTTTCATTCTTGTTGATATTACTAGTTCATTTTTTGGCATATAATATCCACATTCTTTGAGATTATTAGGACCTTGTACCTGGCACCTTTTCACTCGGTTTCTCCACCCTACCCCCTTGGTCCCCTGCACTCCCCTTCCATCTTATCTTGTTCTCTCTTTCCTTAGACTTATGGTCCTAATATAGAATGCTCAGCCCACTGCAGCCAGCCTTAGTCCTGCTCTCACTTATCTGTCTCATTGTCTCATGGCACACTACATCTTCTGGCTTTCATTCCCTCCTTCCTGACATTCTTATCACTGCTAACCATGTCTGATTTGTATGACTACCCAAATGTACACACCAGGCTTTTCACTGGCACTGTCACTGTTAGGTAAACCATATGGCCAAGACTTCTGAGCTGTAGAACAGTGATTTAGGGAGAACTACTAAATTTCTACAAATGCTGAAGGTATTCTTCTCTCTTACTTCCATATATTAAAACTACGGTAAAGATTCTTAAGGAATGATACAGCAAGACTAAGATTATACACCTTAACCATGCTGTTTAATTTGTATAAAACATTCTATTGAATGCAAAGTTCGTAGCTGTGTATTTTGGGGATCCCCAATCTGGTCACTCAAGTGGCTTATGATTAATGAGGGGGGCACATAATGAACCTCACCAAAAAGCAAACTAGAGTGTCCATGATGAAAAGATGCAGAATGCTTA